ATATTCCCTTTTGTACAATTGATGAGAATTAAAATATAATATTAACCTGTCTGTAAGACCCCAGTTTAATAATTTTTTTCGATCTTTAATAGATAAAACGCGAAAGTCATTAATTTCTTCAATGAATTTCATATAAACTCCTCGACGATTCATTGGATCGACATCTCGCGCGCGTTGCAATATATAAATAAAGTTTCTTCGTTATATTCAATATAATATATAACGGCACGTCGAACTTCTCTGAAATTTCAAATAGACTCGCGTTTTAATATGTTATTGCTTAATATAACATTAAAATATGAAATTTAATCATAGTTACGCGCTTGGGTCATTATCTAACATTCTGATCAAATTTTTAATCACATCTTTTCCATAATCATCATCACCCTTATTTAGAGTACTTAATAAAAATCTTGGCATCGATAATTAACAAACACCAATTTAATGAACATACTTGTAGCTACGCGAGGACAGCCTTTACGTGTACACCAGCTTCTTTATCAAGTAAACGTTTAGCCAATTCAACTCTCAAACATTCGTATAAATCATCCCTTACATGCATTTAAAATACGAATAATTTTTTAAAAAAAAAGAATACTAAAAAATAATGTAGAGTAAATAACACACTAATTTGACATATATTCTTACTCGATTGAACCCAAACAGCCAATAAGGTGTGCTATTAAATGGCAAACGCGTAATTTCACGTTGTTATTTTTAGCTTTAATGCCTTTCAACAAATGCTGGATAAGAAATTCAGTAAAGCGTGAAGATAATGTATCAGCATAATCGTCATCCTTATCTTCAGAGTGATTATCATTTTGTTCGGTTAAAAGCTCTTTGTCTGATGAAGAAATTGAATAAATTAATGATATAACGAATTCTTTTTTGATAATCTTAAAAAAAAAACCTTTTTCACCCACGAATTTTATCACACGCTCGAAATTTGGTTGTCCTTTTTTTACTGGTAAAATTTTCAAATTTTTGACAAATTTGTCATTAAAAGCCTGTTCGTCATCTGATTGACTGTCAGACGATCCATTATTTATAGGCTTATATAATGAACATTTCACTTGTACTTTGCGGAGAGCTATAGCATGTTTCCGGTGATTGCCTGCAGACTTTTGGCAATCCTGAAAAATTTGCGGAATAATAGTTGATAACGTAATAATAGGATTTTGCATTTCGACGCGTTGCAAATTATTAACAAATTACATTTCAGATATTTATATTTTGATATTTGTATTTGATCATTATTGACATCATATTAATATCATATT